GAGCAGCAGAGAAGTGCCCCACCTCTGACAGAACACACCCACCCACACCTTTCAACCTGAGACAGGTTCTCATTATCCAAATGAACCTTTTGACTAAAGAGCTCAAAACCTCTGCAGGGATACCTCAGCAAAGGCTGCTGTGGATACAGAGAGAGTGAAAGGAATTCAACAGGAGCATCACAGGCACGTGGAAACCTCAGCTCCCAAATGGAAACCTCAGACCAAATTTTGTTCTCCTGCACATGAGTGAAACCCCACTCCACCCAAAAGTGGAGACACCCCTGTGCTCCGTGCACAATTTGCTGCTGAGTCTTACTCCAGGCTGAATTGTGAAGCAGAATTCCCACAAAATGATGGAAAACAGCCACTTGTGGGATACCCCAGATAATTTAGTGCACCAGGAATTCTGCCTGGCCCTGCCAAGTGCCAGCAGCAAATTGCTGAACCTCGAAATCGCTGTGACTCTCAGAGAGTGCAGCAGGGCTGGAAAATCACTGTATTGCAGCTCAAACATGGGTTTGATACCTGGGATCTGAAGCAAGCTTTTCCCCCTGATTATTTTAGAGCATTTTATTTTTGATGGCTCTTATCCCAAAGGGAGACACTGCATGGTACAAGTGACTGACATGACATTTTATTGTCTAAGCTACCATGAAATCTTCAGTTTCTTGTAGAAGAAAAGACCTTTTATGGTCCAATTTAAAAGCAAACCAATACATGTTTTAAAATAATAATAAATAATAATAGAACAACAAAAAGCCAAGGTAGCTTGGCTCCTAAAATTAAAAGTCTCCTTCACCCAATCCCCATAATTTAGTTTCACTGACTTGAAAAATCCAACCTTCCATTCTAGTACTGAAAGTGTTTCATCCAGCTGTGGAAAAGGAACGGGAATTAAATCATTGCTGAATGGGAGCCTAAATTAAAAATGGAGATCAACATTTTGGAGGAGGGTTTGTTTTTAATGAGCTATAACTTTCACATAGTCCAATTAATCTCCTTGATTTCTGCAGAAAATTGTCCCTCCTCTTTCCCACCAGGCAGAACAATTTTTCCTAACCAAAGCAGCAGGATCTCTGCGTACTTGCTTTCCTTGTAATGAAAATTCCAAATTTCCAACTCACTCCCAAGCTGAATTTCAGAAGTACAGGGATTAGGAACAGATGACTCTTGGGAATATCACCTTCCTTTGGGAAAACTCATCCAGGGCTCTTTGGTCAGGGAATGAGAGAAATATGAAATCATTTAGGTTGGAAAATAACTTTCAGATCATTGAGCCCAACCATCAAACAGCCCCCCACCATGTTCAGCACTGAACACTGTCCTCAGGTGCCACATCCACACAGTTTTTGGGTATTTCCAGGTGTGGTGATTCCAAACCTCCCTGGGCAGCCCCTGCCAGGGCCTGAGCACCCTTTCCATGGGGAAATTCCTGCTGCTGTCCCAGCTGAGCCTGTCCTGGCCCAGCCTGAGGCCGTTCCCTCTCCTCCTGTCCCTGTTCCTGGAGCAGAGCCCGACCCCCCGGCTGTCCCCTCCTGGCAGGAGCTGTGAGAGCCACAAGGTCCCCCTGAGCCTCCTTTGCTCCAG